CCCCAAAACCCCAAAACCCCAAAACCCCATAGACAATAATCAGAGTGAAAAATATAATTGAGAATTTTAAATATAATTGATAAAATAGAATGTCTGCAAGTCAAAATTCTTAGAATCATCGTAGAAATCAGCAAGTTTTTTCAAATGAAATGGGGGATGATCAGAATGACATTATCGATTTCGACACTGGAAATGAGTTTTCATCGACAATCAATAGAGATATTTTGAATGCTCAGCAAAGAGCAAATATGAATTTGCAAGGAGCAAATGAACTTAACCTCAATAATAGTTCCAACTTTATTGAGAATAGATTTTTTGCCATACCTTAAAACCATGACTTGATTGGTATTTTAACTTAAATTATTTTAATTCCCTTAATTATAGCTCAATCAACGGGAGTTGGATAAATAAACAGATCCTTTGTATCATAGAATTCTCTCAGTGCTATAATCATCCAAGGTGAAATGCAATAGAATTAATCAAATGCCTAGTTATAATATGCAGGGGCTAACGCAAACTCAAATCAGCAAAACAACACCAGACTGCCATCACATCAGAGAGCTAACTCATAAAGCTTAACATTTTAAAACTAACATGATATAATCCGGTAATAGCAAAACTAATAAAGTCAACCAACTCAGCAATACTTAACTTATCATCACAAAATAGCATAGCAACAGCAGCAATAATAGCAGCAAATAAATACTTAACAATAGTAGCAGCAATGGCAGATCAATGGAAGCAATCAACATTTCGTTAATTCCTCATTACAATCAAACGTCTGTAATTATCATTAGAGAAGTTATGTGGCCTATTGCATGATGCACAAAGAGCTAATGTGCGAGGAATGCTGCGACCTGTCTCACCACAAAGATCATCATAACCAAATTTTACTTTTAAAAGCAGCTGCTTAGAGCTTCTTAATTGATGTTGATTTTTAATTGAATCAGATACTCTTGCAAAGAGCATCAATCAGCAAATGTGAAGGATTCAATCTTAAGAGCTAGATAAGAAGGCAAATTATAGACTTTTTCGAGGAGCTGAATCAATAGTTATCTCTACTCTAAAGATAAAAACTTGATGAATTCAATAAACTTTTTAAAGAAACCAATGTCACCAATATCCAGTAAAGAGTACAAGAACTTAAAATCAAGATCAGCACTTATGAGACTTTCTTGGCAACGAGGAGATCAGACTTCGATTAGAGGAATTATGTAGGCTTCTTAACGAAGACATAGGATATAGAGAAGTATATAAAATTATCAGAGAAAATACTTAAAGAATCACAAGATTTACTTAAAGAAAAAGATCAACAAAAAAGCATTGAGTTTATATAGGATAAGGCAAAGGCCTAAGAAAAGATAAAAAATGTTATCGAGAAAACTCTTAAGGTTCCAGTGCTAAAGTATAACAGGGAAATGTTAGACACACTTCATTTCTTTGTCTATAACACTCATAATCTATTCCTTTACAACTTTAGGTCGCACAGCTACAGATCTTATGTAGTAAACATTAAGATACCAGCAAACTTTATGTCTGTTGAAAATGAAGAAGGTAGGATTTTCCTTACTGGAGGGGGTGAACCTGGTAAAGCGACTAAATTTTGTTATGAGTTTGTCGAGGAAAGGCTAGTTTAAAAAAGAGATATGCTGTTTGAGAGAAGAGCACATACTTTGACGAGTGTGCTAGTTGATGGCAAAAAAAGCTAGATCTTTGCAATTGGTTCTTCACTTCCAAACGAGTCTATGAACAAATGCGAGTTTTATGATGTAGCCTCAGATACTTGGACTTAAGTAGCGAATCTTAATACTAAGAGAAACTTTCACACAACTATCGCATTTGATAACTAATATCTATACGTAGTAGCTGGATTCAACGGAGGCTAGAGAACCAATCTTATTGAAAAATTTGACTTGAAAAAGAGACAATAGTGGGAGACTTTAAATTTGAAAATCAAAGAAAATACTAACTGGATTTGCCTGGAGGGGTGTGGCTTGTTCTAAATATCTAATCAGCATATATTAATCTTTGGTGGCTTTACTACTTCTGACTAAAAAACAAACCATTGTTACTTGTTTAATGTCTAGTCTAATGAAATTGAGCAGCTTAATTGCAAGACTCGTACTTAGAGTAACTTCTATCAAAGACAACCTAAAATTGGAGGTGATGGAAAGCTTTACTGCGTAGAAACTAATTCTTTAGATTTACATGTATTTGATATGAAGACTTTCGAATGGGATTTCATTGATAGAAAATTTATTGGCTGGTGAGGAAATAATGCACCGCTGTCCTTAAAATGGCGATATATATTAAAATAATTACTTAATAAATTTCTTTCCAATTTAATAGGGTATATCGGATCTTACGGGGTTTTGGGGTTTTGGGGTTTTGGGG